GCACATTATGGGCACTGTTCAAGATGGTCTCTGCAGAAGTTGCCATGAAACCACCCAAAAAGAGAGAGGAGTGTCATCTTCCACTACACGCAAGTTATGTGGCTCCACAACAGTAGACATCGGAATACAAGAAGAAGAAGAAGAACAGGACAGGGCGTTATGCATATCTTGCAATAACTTCAGACTCATACGACCACTACCAGCAACAAGAGCGATGACAGTCAACACAGGTTTGTCATCATTGTTATTAGTAGTGTCACTCGTCTTGTTGTTGTTCTCGTCAGTTGAGTTCACAGGTCTAATGGACGGAGTGTGAAAAAGTAAAAGAAGAAGGAAGAGAAAGAAAGAGACACACATAGTGAGTGGATGCAGTACACAAATACTCACATTGGAAAAGAGAGAGAGAAGCAGCAACTACACAGTAAAGCAACAAAAAGGAATATTCAGCTTGTATAATAATATGTACCCATTAATCGAAAAAAAAAGAGAACACCCCGCAATACCCAAATAAGAGAAAGAGAGAGCCAAACACACACACACACAATACCCCATGGCTCTAGTTTATGTATATTAAATTACTGCACACACACACACACAACTGTGTGTACTAGCAAGAGATGTATACCGTCAGTGAGCAGAACAGCCCAGTTTTCTAGACACTTACACACAACGGGAAAAATCAAGTAATGGAATTATTAGAAAACGAACACACACACACAAATAAAAGAAAAAAAAATTCCAATTAAAAGAGAATGCTGTTAAACAGATTATTAGTTTATTCACCCATGGAGGATGTACGCAATTATGATTATGTTAGTTTAACCATTATTATTATTTGTCCTCAGATGAGTCCCACCGTTCAGCACACAGTAAAAGAGAACAACACAACCACAATCATCAGCGGTGCTGGAGTGTGCATCCACAGAGGATTGATACTGCTGTCAGCATTAGCCTTATTCTTCTGCACTGTGGAGGCAATAGAGTTGATCTCTGCGTTGGGTACAGGAGATGGAGTGGTGGTTGGTGCTTCTGTAGCAGTGTTCTCGGTGCTCGGCGGAGTAGTAGTACTGGTTTCTTGTGAGTCTGATGGGGCAGTCGCATCAACATTTGCAGGAGATTGCTGGGTAGAACTATTATCGCCAGATGTGGTGTTATCAGCTGTGTTGCTCGTCGCTCCACGATCATTTTGTGTAGATGCATTGGAGTCTTGAGATTGGTTTTGTGATGTAGTCGCACTTGTAACGGTCTGTGTACCTTCAACGTCATTTTTTGAGTTGTTTCCCAAGACGGGATTTCGCTGTTGCACCTCACCAATACCACTAGCATCTTCTGGTATGCCTTCTGTTGAAACTTCGGTTCGACGATCAGTCCCTACACCCAGACCACTTCCTCCAACGGACTGACCGCTTGCCTCATGAGTTCTCTCGGGAGCCGGTGGTGACGGTTCAGCAGTCCGAACGACTCCAATCTTCTTACAAGTTTCCTCGTCAAGTGTAGAATTCTCCTTCTTACACTCCACGTACTTTTCAGCTCTTTCACGTTTATCTCTTGTAATATAAGGAAACTCTGAAATAATAGGAACTTCCAACACCTCATTTGAAGTAATTAACGTTGGTTCCGCTTTAGGAACATCAGTCACACCGGCTGCCACTCCACCTGTCACAATACACACGCAGGCGCAGCACAGCACAACGGCCAACACACACATCACACGGTGCATCATCATCATGAGAGAGACAAGGGTTTGGTTTTGCGTAAAAACACTGATCTAGAAAGAAAGACAATCAAAAAAAGCAAAAAAAGAAAATAAATGAAGTATCAAACATGTTAGGACACACAAAAATCGATTACCACTATGGAAACTCACATCGTGAAAGTAAAACTACCAGTTAAAGAATGCAATACAGCGCAATAACCTCAGTAAGAGTAAAAACAAAAAAAACGCCCACACTCACAAACATCTCAAAAAAGGATGAACCACCCAGCAAATCATCAAGCAAACAAAACAGATATTAACCATTAGCCCAATTTACCAGTAAACACAGAAATATACCAATTATGGGTGTAAGTCTATATATGTATATACGCAATTATAAATATAAATTCATTTGTTATTATTATTTCTTTTTTCCCAGTGCAAAAAACAGTTCATCATTATCATTACAGTGCAAACCCAGGCGCACACACAGAGAGAGTCTCCAAGAACACACAAACACACACACAATGGAGTAGCAATAATAATAATTATTATTATAGGATAAACATAGAGAGCAAAAACACACAAAACACACATTAACATCAACAAACAAAAAAAGAAGAAAGAAAACTCCCAACAGGTGAAAGATTAGTTAGACTGTAGTGGGGATGTATGCAAAAAAGAAAAAGAAAACAAAGGATGACCTGAGTCACACCACCAGCATTACAATCAGCACACAAGAATACAGGCCAGTGTAACCACAATCAGTAGTGGTACACGCACCCACACAGAACTGCTGATACTGCTGCTGCTGTC